TTACATGACAATATGTTTCTGTATTTTTCTTAAATCTATAATTGTCCTTTCTTTACTAGTTCTGTTATTTCCTCCCCTTTAAGCACATTTTGTAGGACTTGGGTCTACTAAGTTGCTTGATCACATGATGAAATTATTAAGAATTGCTCATGAATTGTACTTTCTTCCAGAAATTGTTTTTCCCCATTATCTAAGCTTATAATTTCATAGTACTGTACACATAATTTATTAGAAATGCAAGGTACATATACATATTCCAATTTTATCTTTTTCAAAATCTCATTTACATGAAAATATATATCCTCACTGAAAACATATTTCTCATCATAAGTTGATGAACATAGTTTTTCATGCCTAATACATTTATGTATATCCAGACATTTTCATGATAACTTCCTTATAGAATCAAATTTATTTTGTTTGGTATCTCTTAAAGGTAGACTGTCTCCATACTTCCAGGTTTGTTTGTTTAATCATTTTATTGGGGGCTCGGACAGCTCTCCCGATTATGTATCACAATCCATACATACATCCATTGTGTCAAGCACATTTGTACATAGGCTTCTATCATCATTTTCAAGACATTTTCTTTCTACTTGAGCCTGTGGTTTAAGCTCATTTTCCCCTCCCCCCCCCTTCCTCCCTCATAAACCCTTGATAATTTATTTAAAATGTTTCATGTGAATTGTTGTCTATTGAGTGCTTTACTGCTTTCATTTTCATTTTTGCACTAAAAAGAGTGTATGGTTGCATTTAATTTCCAATAGGAAAATAAACTTAGGATTTTTCTATCTAGTCTCCTTCAATTTTGTTCAGGAGAATACATGTGAGTGGGGGAGGGCAAAGGAAGAAAAGGAAAAGAAATCTAACAGAATAAAATAGATCCAATTGTAAAATCAAAAAAGAGAAAGCATAGAGGAAAAAGTGGTACCCACATCTAAATCTCCCATTTCACTTACTTTTGCTCAACTTACTCTTTATCTCATCAGAATGCAAAAGTAAAAATGCTCACTTTGTTTCATACTGGATAGGAAGTGAGCAATCTTACAATTTCATCCGCTGTGAGTCTTCTGTTTCTTTCTCTGCCCCAGTTTTGTTATTGGTTATGCTTTCGAGATGAAAGGATTTTCATTCCTTAGTCCCTTTCTAAAGGATCAGGGGAGCAAAACTGGACTATGCATCTGTACAACTGCACTATCCATTCTGCAACATTTGCTTGCAAGGCTCAATAAACGACAAAGGATGTGAAACAGGATGAGTAGAGCTGAGTCTGGATGAATAGGAAGGTGAAGGTAGGGCGATGGATATTTTTTGGCTTAGAATTAACATGTCTTTGTACAAAGTGACCTCCACACAAAAGCTACATTAAAATTTTAGGACTTCAGTCAGGGTGTGATGTAACAATGATGAGAAATACAACTTTTCTCTAGTTCCTAAATGTTTCCTCCTCACTCCCACTACCACGACTCGAATTCTATCTTGCAAGACTGGCTAGACCAGAGGAGGTACACTGGTACAGATAGGAACTGAAAATACAGGGAATCCAGGATGGATGAGCCCTATAGGACCAGTGGTGTGAGTGGCAAAACAGGGAGGGTAAAGGGAGAATGGGTAGGAAAGAGGGAACCGATTACATGGAACTGTGTGTGACCTCCTCCCTGGGGGACAGACAACCGAAAAGTGGGTGAAGGGAGACGTCAGACAGTGCAAGATATGACAAAATACCCATTTATAAACTATCAAGGGCTCATACGGGAGGGGGGAGCGGGAAGGGAGGGGGAAAATGAGGACCTAATGTCGGGGGTTTAAATGGAGAGAAAATGTTTTGAGAAACGATGTACAAATGCGCTTTACACAATCGATGTGTGTATGGATTGGGATAACAGTTGTATGAGCCCCCAATAAAATGTTAAAAAAAAAAAAAAGAACAATAGCATGCCATCAAAGACTCTATAAATTGTTACTTAAATTCTCCAGCAAGACATGCATCGACAAAATATTGGAATGGGGCATGCATAAGTCATAGTGACCCCAGAGGACAGTAGAACTGCTCTGTGAGTTTCTGCGACTCTTAGTGGGCATAGAAATCCTCATCTTTCTCCTGAGGAGAAGCTGGTGGATCTGAAATGCTGCAGCCCAACGTGTAGCCCATTGTGGCACCAGGGCTGGAAATGAGTTCAAACACTAGATAAGAGATGATGGCTCTTCTAGCCCAGTATTTTAACTGATATCCTTAATGATGACAGCGAGTAATTCATAAAAGGCTTAATTATATTTGGCACATCCTGTTTAAGATTGCAGGAGAATGTGACACTTTATAATGAAAATTTCATAAAGATGTATCTGTGGAAGAAAAAAAATTATACCCAATTGTTTGAAATAGAATCTTGGATGAGTCCGTGACGAAAAAGCTCTATTTATAAGATAATGACTTCCCATTAAGATCAGAGATTATTTTACACAAATATTTTCATAAACAAAAGGAGTATGCAAAAAGTAACAACAACAAAACCACAGTAAAGTTTACAATGATTCTGAACATTGCTTCCTAAAAATATTGGGGCAAATAGGTTTCAAAGCAGGTCAGCTTTTGACACCTTCTAAATGATTGTCACTAAAACATTTGCTTGGAAGCAACACATTTTACACACAGTGACCTTCATACAAACATGGATCTCATATTTCTGCCACAGCAAATGCAGATTTTGAAGGAATGGAAACAATATTGCTTTACCTATGGGATCTTTGGGTTTTAATCAAGAGGTTTTACAATGACAGCTTATAATGAGGCAGCTGGTATTACCAAAAAAGCCATATGGAACTATCATAGTGTTGCTGCAAATGGTATCAATTAACTGGTTCATTTTCAAAACTTTCATTTATGTGCAATTTGATCAGAGGGTGCAGGAAAATAAACAAAGGGCTTGGGGCGGTGGGCAGAAATTTGACTATAAAAACTGATCCTATTTTAAAATTAAAGTAGATGAAATAACCAAAGAAAGATATTCTCAACTAAAAGTCTACAGTGGAACATTTAGTGAGTACAAAACAAGGCTTTATTTATATCATTCAAATGAAATTTAAGTTGCACTATTCCTACAGATGGAAAGATTTAGATAAATGTCTTTTCAAGACTGTCATTGTGTAAGGCAAGTTTTAAAAATTGGCAACAGCAGCAATATTCTTATGAGAATAATCATTAGGAGAAATGGACTACAAAAGCAGATGTGACAAGTACAATTCTTCTTTTTGAAATGATTATGTCACAAAATAAATGTTTTGACTTAATTTTCATTATCTATTTACTTAGTTTTCTGCAAAGGAAGGAGGCCGGTCCTGACTTTAATTTTTTGAAAGTTCTGAGGTCACAAAGTGAAAAATCCACAAATCACTGAGAATGGATGTGGAATTAAAGTTCTCAAACCAAGAGAGCAAATTAAGGAATGCAATACCTTAAAAAGTCAGGTCAGATAGTGTTTGATGATAACAGCTTAATACGTGGCTTATCTGGTGAAATTCTTAGTCTGACCAAACTAATGGATTTTCATTATGATATGCCTTTGAATATAAAAATTCTGTATGTCTTTAAATGAATAATACTTTCAAATATTAGGTGTGGTAAAAAGATAACTAGCATCCTTTAAAACCTACAATAGATGGGGATTCCAGTTACAGGTGACCCATTAACCAGCTGTGGTACTTGGGCAAGTCATTTAGAATCGCTGGGTCGCTGTTTCTTGTACATAAACTATGAAAGTTAGAGCAGATGGCCTCTAAGGTCCATCTATGCTTATTATTCTATGAATCTAGAAAAGAAAATGCTAATGATCTCAGCAGTAGTTATTATAAATGCAGTATCAGATTACATTGGAGGAATGCACTTATGATTAGATTTATAAGCTTTCGATAAGTTAGACAGTGTGGGTTCAAATCTAAATTTCATCTCCCTAAAAGCAACATGACCTTGCACATGTTACTTGGCTTCTCTAACTCTATTCATAAATGGGGATTAAAAACAGAACCTAGTGTAGTGGGATGTAATGTAAGTCAAGGGGATAATGCATTTAAAGTACTCAGTGCTCTGCCTAGCATGCCTTAGAAATTGGCTGGTATTGTTTATGTTTTTATGATTGGTATAAGATCTATTCTATGAAATAATTTATGACGAAATCTCTGCAAATTCTACATTCTCAGAATAGAAAACATGAATAATAGTTGCAAAAATGAACACGGTAGTGTGGCTGATGATGAGAACCCACACCAGTCAGGGAGGGCCGTGGCTCCCTTTGTAACTCAGCAAATACCATGGACTTCAGAAAAACCCGCCCTATGTTCTCACAGACAAAATGTCTTAATAAGTGCATGGACCCTCAAACTCCATTCTTAGACGTTATGTCCCAGGTTTGGGGTTCATGCTTACGATCTCTGAGATCACTGATGGGCCTGTGATCTTAAAGTTGTCGATGGTAATCTCTGTGACAAGGGAAGAGTTCTTCAGTGTGCTGCCGTTCTTTAACCATCGCTGGTCGTAATCGCAGCCAGCTTAAGTCTTTGGAGTTCTTTGTCTGAGCTTGTGAGCCCTGCTTTTCAAACTGTACTCTGTCACTGGCTGGGTCATTGTGTACTCGCTCTAACTTGCCAGTAGACCTTCTTACACTAAGGAGACAGGCAAGATAAAAACCACATGTCCCTGCCTTCCTTGCAGTTGGGGGGAAGGGGGGCGCACATATGTCCTAGTGCCTACTATGCAGGGAACTGTGGGACATGGGAAGTAGATCGGAGCAACATGAGGTGACAGCCACACAAAAAAAGACATGGATTTTCTGCAAGCAATATGACAAAAATTCTCCCAGGGCAGCTGTGGCAAAGATTGTAGACCTAGTGAAAAGATTGTAGATGGAGAACTAATAAGGTCAGTGGGTCAAACCCAGCTGCTTTTAAAAGTAAAGTTCTACTGAAACACAATCATAGTCATTCATTTACACATTGTTTTTACTTACATTGTGGGTCATCTCGAAATACTTCTGACAGGCCACCTGATAATGTGTCCCTTTTACTAATTCCAAAATCTAAAATGAATTGGGAAAGAGAGAAAGGAAAAATGAGCGATTGAGCATCTTCTAACCCACTGTAGCACATAGTTGTCGGCCTTTTCAGAATCTCCACTGCGGACAGGAAATGTCTTCAATCATGCAGCATGTTACACTTCTGCAGCCTGGCCACTGGGATAATGCTGACATTACACAGTCACTGTTTAGGTCAGCATTGAACCGCAGATAACAAGAGATAGTAAATGATCTTTCTGACCTACCAACTGTGAATTTCAATCACTTTACCTCAGCGACAAGATGAAAATAGATCCCAGCATTATTACTTTGACAGTGATTGTCAGAACATCATAAGACAACATCTCTTCCAAAATCACAGACATGAATATAATCATCTAAGTGGTTGGGCTCAAGAAGCAATCATGTATACTATTTAGATTTGTTATTTTCCACATTACCAGTTTATACAGATCCAACATGAAACACTGTGGTGTGCCCATCAGGAAAATTTAATATAAACCCTTTAGACGGGCGTCTGTGGAGAGAGAATGCTTTTACACACACACACACACACACACACACACACACACACACACACACCCGCCTCCTCCACACACACTTCTTTTATTTTGGAAATGACATTATTTCTAGTAAAGCTCAGCAGAATAAGAGAGTGAATAGTCTATTCTGTTCACCTATTAGGAACACCATCCTATCTTTTGTAAATACAATTTGCTTTCCAATTCTACTTCATGTAATCTCTTCAGAGCGGTACAAACTGCCATTCTTATCAACAGAGTGCAATGCTAGTTGAAATTTGTAAAAGTTTCATCACCTTTCCCCTTCAAAATAAATAAAATGTCTATTTGGACTGTTTATCAAATACAGTGAACTGCTGGAATTGGAGATAACCTCAAATAAGGGACTCACAAATCTGGAGAAATGCTAATTTCAATCCCTTTTCAAAAGGTAGGCCCTTCCTGTGACATGAAGTCTCAAACCCGCCCTGTCTTCGTTATTCAATACTGCCTTTCATCGTCTCACAGACAGACAAATAAATTACAGTTGCAGCATAGGGACCATAAAAGGCTGACAAGAATGGGCTTAAAAGAATTATTTTTCTGATTGTCTTATGGCGTAAATGTATGTCTTCCATTTCACCTTTTGTTAAATCCTAAATGGCCTGGGTAAATGCTGATCAATCACAGCTTCTGGCATGCTGTAGGTTTACATGAATTGTTACAGCAAAAATAAGTAAATAAAAAATCATTTACATATGAATGATACAAGAAAAAAGTGGAGAAATTCACAAAGCTTTTCTCAATAACCCTAACAAGTTTGAGTTCAGATTCTCTGACACTTTTACAAACAGATAACCAAATTGCATTTAGGTAAACTTCGGAATTGCTCCTGGCAAACATCAACTTTAACAATCTATTAATATCTCTGAATTAGAATTTGAGAAGAATTCAAACAAACAAGCTTAAAATGATGCCATAAATTATCTGAAGAGAAATAAGTTCAAATAGACACAAAAGCTCAACTGTAGTATGGCAATAAATACAATACATTCCTTTTAAGTAAAGACAGAAGAGTGAATCCAACATGTTGTTTGTGTATATGAATTTTATTTTTAATTAATTTCTATGTATATAAAATTTGAAATAAAATGCTGAAGATGACTCAGAAATGGTTGCAGCAGTACATCAACAGAGAACTGTCAGAAATTAAAGGCAGGTTCAGAAGATGTGTAAAGAGGGCTATCATTGCCGATGTTGGGTGGATCTTGGATCATATGTATGTTTACCTATGTTGTGTTGACTATTACAATAACAAAGGTATCAGACTGTGTGGATCATAAGTTGTGAATAACATTGTAATTAATGGGAATACTAGAATATTTCATTGTGTTAATACAGAACCTCATACATACACAAAAAGGCAGTTAGTTGACTAAAACAAAGACATACTGCATGGTATAAAATCAGGAAAGGTATACAGCAGGGTCGTATCAGTCACCATCTTCATCTAATCTGTGTTTTGAGCAAATTATCCAAAATGCTGGATTATATGAAGAAGAACATAGCATCAAGATTGGAGGAAGACTCATTAACAATACACGATTTGCAGATAACACAGCTTTGCTTGCTGAAAGCAAAGAGAAGTAGAAGCACTTATTGATGAAGATAAAAAAAATACGAGCTTTGATCAGGAAGCAGAAAGAGCTCTGATAGCACAGGGGATTACAGATTGAGCTGCTAACCACAAGGTTAACAGTTCGAAACCATCAGTCACTCCAGCAGAGAAAGATGAGGCTTTCTGCTCCTGTAAAGGTTTATAACTTCAGAAACTCACAGAGGCAGTTCAACTCTTCAATGGGCGGCTATGAATAGAGATCGACTTGATCACCGTTGACACGAAGAAAACAAAAAACTTCAGAAGCAGGATAATGGCAACCTCATGATAAGTAGAAAAAGATGAAGTTTTCAAGGACTTCATTTTACTTGGATCCACTCATGAAAGATGCACTCAAAAATATCAAATGACATATTGCACTGGGCAAATATGCTGCAGATGATCTCATTTGTTACAAGTATGAAGAGCGGAGATGTCACCTTGGGACCAAGGTCAGCTTGACCCAAGTCATGGTCCTTTTAGTCAGCCCCTATTCGTGTGAAAGCTGCACAGTGGAGAGGAAAACTACATTAGAAGTGATGCCTTTACATGAGGATGCTGGCAAGAATAGTAAATACACCATGGATGGTCAGAAGAATGAACAAATCCGTCTTAGAAGAAACACAGCAAGAATGCTTCGAAGTGTGGAGGGTGAAACTTTTTCTCGCTACTTTGGACATATCATCAAGAGAGATCATTCCCTGGAAAAGGACATCATTCTTGGTCACAAAGGTGAGCGAAAGAGGAGAAAGGAAAACCTTCAGTGAGATGGATTGACACAATGGCTGCAACAGTGGATTGAAACAACAATAATAATCAGGAGGATAGCACAGGACTGAGTACTGTCTCGCTGTATTGTACACAGTGTCACTATGAGTCAGAACTGGCACCTAACAACAACAATAAGATGTCCAGTGCTATTATAATACAAATACTACAAACACATGGCATTAACAAACAAAAAACCAATTTTCTCATTGTTCAGGAGACTAGAAGTCCCAATTGAGGAGCTGGCTTTTGGGGAAGGCTTTCTCTGTTGCTTCTGGATGGAGGGCCTTATCTCTGCTTCACCTGCTGTTTCTTGGTACCTTGGAGAGCTAATGTGTCAGCTATTATCCTTTATTTCATTTGCTCTTTTATGTCTCAAAGAGATTAAGATACAACTTAGACTAATACCTTCTTGTTAACTTAACAAAGAAATTCTACTCCCAGAGGGATTGAAACCATTGTGGTTGGGATTTATAACACATTATTTGCAGGGTGGGATAACAATTCAATCCATAACAGGAAGTAATGAAGATATAAGGGGCATTGAATAAGCTAAAAGAAAATGTCCAAGGGAAAGACTGGTTTGTGGAGATTAGGCATCATTGGTGGGAACACACACACACACACACACACACACACACACACACACCATGTTATCCCACGGGCGAGTTGAGCTGCTCTCAGTAAGGTGGGCAGTTAGAATTCACCAGCCACTCCGTAGGAGAAAGATGAGGCATTCTGTGCCTTTAAAGGTTTAGCATCTCCGAAACGTAGGAGGCAGTTGTACTGCCTTACAGGGTTGCTGAAAGGTTAGCAGTTGGTTTGGGTTTTATATGCAACTTAAATGATCTTGCTTTCTTTAAGAGGAATAAAAAAGTATGTATGCTTTTCAAAGTAAGACTAGGAAATATAAATATTCCTAAAAAAAACCTAATAACTAACAAGAATTTAAGTATTAATGGTACATTGTGATTTATGTAACAAAGACAGAGGAAGAGAGAAGACAGAGAAAGAGTGGGTCTTATGAACCACTGAATAGCGTTTGGGTTTTTCTTGGAGTAAAATGGAGCACTACTATAGTGTTCCAAACATGGGAGGACTTCAACTCACTTCTAACAGCTAAATGCCTGTTGTGTTGCACACAGACTGGATAGGGCAGAGGTAGAAACAGGGAGGCTATTTCAGGTATCCACGGGATAAAAGATAAAGGCCCGTGCCAGGATGAAAAAGATAAAGGCCCGTGCCAGGATGACAGCAGTAAAGAGGGGAGAAGTGGTCAGATTTGAAGATGTAAGCATTTTCTACATAACAGTTATCAATCATTTCTGGAAATCAGATGTTTGGCACAAAAATACTCAACAGGAACCTGTTCCCTAGTGATTTAGAGTAATACATTACCTATCACTGAATCCTTTCTGCAAACTATTTCTGAAATAAAACTAGTTTTAAAAGACAATATAATGCATATATATATATATACTCTCAGGCTAAAATTCAAGTAGCCAAAACACCATTTACTATAACGAGACAACCAACAGTAGCATTCACACATAGTATATTCAACTCAATGCCACCAAGTCAATTTCTACCCCAAGTAATTCTATGGGACAGAGTAGAACCCGCCCTGTGGATCTCCGAGACTGTAAATCTTTATGGAAGCAGCAAGCCTCATCTTTCTCCTGGGGAGGTAGTGGTGGCCTCAAACTGCTGATCTTGTGGTTCATAGATCAATCCATAACTCACTATGCCATCAAGCCTCCTTATAGGTTATACAGTAGCATATAAATATGTCACCCAAACCCTCTCTTAATACTAGCAACATCGTAGATGCATTTCCCCTTTGAAAACTTCAAAACCTTCGTACTTGATTCTGATATTCTACAATTTGTATATGGAAAGCTATGCAGAATCTTTCCTGCACCTTATTTTGGTAAATTTTCCTAACATAAACGTAACATATAAACACTGAACTAGGACTTGTATTTTATTTGAGGTTTAAAAGTCAAGCAGTTGCAATGGGAAAAATAGTAACTGGAGAAATGTTTTGCAGGACATATGTAGACGTTAAAGATAGCACT